CCCTACATCTATTTTGAACTTAGTTTGTAAGCTACAAAGGCTTCCTTTTGACTCTAATTCCTAATTAAATTATATAATTATTTCATTTTCTAACTTCATAGGATAGTGAACAATTACAGAGCTTGCTAAAGTCATATATTTAGTGAAAGACTTCATAGGTCTGATAGAACTTGAAATTTAAGATAATTTTGCTCACTATATTCTGAGAAGAATGTGTTCTAAACTAAGGCTGTTAAGAATCAATACCAATGACATCAATTTCACTTCACAGTTCACAGCACATACCTCTTCTAAAACTTGGCAGTCATCTTCCAGTGGTCTATTTAAGTCATTGTGAGAATAAGTAGAAAATTCTGCAATCATCATTTTATCTATCAATTTTTCTAATTCACAAAGCTGTGATCCCAAATGCCTACAAAAGAAAAAAATATATATTACATATATTCATTTAAAACCACAAATTTATGCCACAATAGAACTTACAGGTGAAACTTTTCTAGCTGGCAGTACATGTACAACAATGTGATATTTTAGTAAAATGGAGTCCTTTAATTTCTCAAAATAACTACGATAATTTCCCTTCATCTCTCAAATTTTATTTTGATCTTATCTTAAACCACAGTGCCAAAAATCTTGGTTACTAGGTAAATTTTATGACTGCTTTTTACAGACTAAACATTTGTATAGTCTAAGTACTTTCCTTATTAACCATTTATTAAACACCAAAGGTGCTAGCTCCACAGCCATTCATTTATTCAACAAATACAATTGCTCTCTGGGTGGCAGGCATTGTCCTGGGTACAAATAAATATGTGAAGAACCACGGGTACAGACTGTTTCGGTTTAATCTTTTTTTTTTTTTTAAGTGATAAAGAACACATGCAAGAGAGAGTGCACACATGCTCATGTACACCCCAACAGGGTCTTGGTATCATGATCTACACCTCTCTTCAGCCAGTCCCAGACAATGGGCACATGCATACCCAGCATACTCATGGAAGTCTCTAGACATGAACCCAGGACCTTATTGTATGGATTAGCCTCACAGAACATTGGTGTACTACTACAGGGCCCCTAAGTGTTTGCTTTTGGTTTTTTATTTATTTATTTATTTATTTATTTATTTTTTGGAGAGATTTTTGTTACAGGGCATATGTGCTCATTCGAGACACAGAGACAGAAAGTGAGAAATCACCCCCCTACACACAGGGGTGAAAGCCATGCCTCAATCCCTTCTCCATTCTCCTCTCTGGATTTTGGGCATGCACACGCACATGCCCAGTGTGAGTTTTAAGCCACTGGGTCTGGGACTCAAACCGTAGCTGACTACACGGGAGCCTATCAATGTAACCATTATGCCATCTGCTGGTCCCTCTAGTTTTTTTTTAAAAAAAAGTAATCAGCTAGAGATTATGTGCACACATTGTGGGAGAGGAGGCAGCTCAACCAGTTGTCATCGTGCAACAATTCCCCTTCCCCAGCTGTCCCCCAGCTCCTCAGGCTCTTGGACACACACAGTAGTACCATGTTTTCAGGCCTACCTAGGTATCTGAAGCAAGGACCTCAGCGAGGTCAGCGAGACCACAGAGAGCACCGACGTTCAAAGACAGCTCCGAGGCCTCTGACTCAGCCTCCTAGAGCCTGCCCACCACATCCCCACCTCATGAGCTTTCACAATAAACTTCACCCCCCCCCAAAAAAAAAAAAAACAGGGTAGGATATATATTTATACATAACTTCAACATTGCTTGGTTCTCAATTTTTATGAAGAGCATGAATTCCTTCTTAAGGTAGACTAGAGCTTAATACTCAGGTATGTGTAACCTCTGGGCATGAATAGTCTTCAACAAGTCACCATGAAAAATTACAATGGGAAGACCACATGATTGCAACTACTAATATTTGAGCAAAATAACAAAATTCTGTCATTTCAATGCAACTTAAATGTTAGTTTCTGTTTTACCTCAGTTACTGAAATAGGTTCATTTTTATACAGTGTTATGTTTAAAGTCTGATTAACATAATAAAGCAGGGCAGATACAGTCCCAATACTAACATGACATTGTATTTATTATATAATCACAGATATCTAATGATATATAATTTGTCTAAACATATCCTTAAACATGAGTTTCAGAATTATAACATTCTACAGGAAAAACCTACTTATCCTTGCTGTAATTGTTCTATTTTATTTTTTTCAATTTTTTTTTTTTGAGATTTTTGCTATAGGATATGTGCGTTCACCAGAGAGACAGAGAGATAGAAAACAAGAAATCACTCCCCGGGGGGAGGGGGGGGATGGTCAGGCCACAATCCCTTCTTCTCCATTATCCTCTTGGGATCTTGAACACAAATGCATACGTGCCTGGCATGAGTTTTAAGCCACTGGGTCTGGGCCTCGAACTGCAGTCAACTATGTGGGAGTCCAGTAACATAACCATTACACCACTGCTGGTCCCTAATTGTTCTTTTTATATTCTTGACTACTTTAACAATAGATGTAATAATAATAGCCAATGCATTATTAAAATATTTTTATTTTAAGTCCATATATCCAAATAAATAGACTGGAACACTGCCAATACTTTCTACTTAGAGATATGCCTCAATTTGCACACTAATCTAGATATTCTATTAAGCTGTATTTTCAATATAGCAATTTTTGTGTTCCTTTTATCAGAGAAACTTGTATATCAATAAACTCTATAGTAATTCTAGTTTCATCAAATAACAGAATGTCTGATTTCCTGCCTTCATCCTGAAGAATACCATGTAAAGATTTTTTCTACTGTTTTAAAGTTTGAATTATAGTACACATTTCAGGATCAAATCATATGTTAGGTGCCTTTTGATAGATCCCAAAATAAAAATCCCTTAAATAGAATCCCAAGGTGACTTCTGACCAATTAAACCATAATGAGCTAGAAGCTATAATTAATTTCTACCTTCAAGAAAATTCCCACCCACCCAAAAAAGACAACTAGAAGACTAACTTGTTTGAGTAATTTCTAACATCAATTACTACAGTAATTCCTGGCCCAAAAATCCTAGAGCTCAATTGCTCACAATTTTAATGTCTATAACATCATAAAAGTAGCAATGACGTTCAGAGTGATTTATTTGAGGTCCTCTAAATAAAAAAGTACAGCTCTCAGGTCCAATGAGACAAAGGTTGGATTTCAACTCTATTATTTAACTTGCTGTTTGACCTGAAGCAAGTTATCTATAACTTTCTAAGCCCAAGATAAGTTTTCTTATCTGTGAAAATGAACATTACCTATCCCATGGTTCTTGTAGGGGAGAAATCAAGTAATACATGCAATATACTCAGCACGGTAACTGGTACAGAATATTAAGTTTTAAGTAAATATCCTCAGTTGTATAGTGGTGGTGACAGTAGAGTAACAGTAGTACTAAGGAGTAAGAACAGAATGTTAACAATGATGAAAATTGAAAAGTTCCATATAAATCACCTTTACAATAACAAAGATCAAATAAAAACATTACAGTCCTTTAACGTAACCAAAGCTTTTCTAATCAAAACTTACAACACATCAACATTCAAATGTATTCTTTTTTAAAAAATGAAAAGAATTATTTAATTATATTTATCATTATTATTTTTAAATTTGCTATAGGGCACACGTGCTTACCAGAGATAGCGAGAAAGAAGGAGGGGGACAGAGAGAGAGAAAGTGAGAAAGCAAGCCACCAGGATTGCGACTCAGATTGCAGTTGACCATGTGGGATTCCAGCACCTTAACCACCAAACTACCTGCTGGCCCTCAAATGTATTATTAAGCCCATAATTGAGACTTCTGCATTATATCTGCTTAAGCACTTGAATGTCAATAACCTTTGCAATACCTTTAAATGAGCAGAGAGAACAAACAATATATATTATTTCGCTTACTATCATTTTTATTAGTATCAGACAGCAGAATTTCATTTTATGAGTAATGATTGAAAATATTTATGTCCTAGAAATTAAAACTGCCCAATTTTGCAATACTTTAGGCAGTAAAATCATTTAATGTTTAAAAAAATTATAAAATCAACTAGTGTACAAAAGAGCCATTATAATAATTATGAATTATTCAATAAGTTTCCTACTGTGTAAAGTACTCCTCACACTCAGAGGAGGGCTCAGATGTTAGTATTTTTACATTGATATCAGATACATTATTACACCCTTAACAAATTACGAGAAACATCTTTGAATAGAGACAAGATACTTTAGTTGAAAATTTTGTTTAAAAAGAACGAATTTATTTAAGAAGATATCACTGTTATTCTAAATCATAAAAAAGTAAGAGTACTCAACAGTAATAATAAACCAGGCTTCTCAATTCTGGTGCACAGCAGAAATTCCCAGAGAGCTTTAAAAAATGCAGATGCAGGGCCAGCAGGTGGTGTGCTCATTAAGACCCTGGATATTCCGACATGACCAACCATGGTTTGAGGCCAGACCTGGTGGCTTGCTTTCTCACTTTCCCTCTCTCTTTCTCAGTGTCTCTCTCTGGTCAAATTAAAACACATGAATGAATAAATAAAATTAAATAATTCTTTAAAAACACAGATGCTCAGGTCTTCTCCTCTAGTAGGTCTTAATAGTAGATTTGAACAGGGTGTGGAATACATTTATTGTTATTATTATTATTAATATGACCTGAGAGAGACATAGACAGGCCACCACTTGCCAGCCCCTGCAATACTTTTTTAAAAAGCTCTCTGGGAGTTCTACTAGGCAGCTAGGATTAAGAACCAGAATTAGCTCATACATAAACTATGAACAGTCAATTAGAGAAAATGATTATTAAAAGAAGAGAATGATATAAAGTATCAAGAAACATTGGGACCAGCAGTTAGTGTAATGGCTATGTCATTGGACTCGGTTCATGTCCCGGACCAGGTGGCTTAAAACTCACGCCGGGCGCGTGTGCGTGTGTGTCCAAGATCCCAAGAAGAGAATGGAGGAGAAGGGATTGTGGCATGGCCATCCTCCCTGGGGGGTGATTTCTCGCTTTCTGTCTCTCTGTCTCTCTCTGTCTGTCTGGCGAGTACACACGCCCTATAGCAAAAACTTCTCCAAAAAAAAAAAAGAAAGAAGCATTTGGTAATATCTTAGATAAATCAGTTTCCAGAAATATGCATTAGGATGTGTATGACATAGTTCATTTCCAAGACATTTATATTAAAGTCCAGTAGAAAAGTTTTAAATAACAACACAATTGACAATAAAACATTTGATAATGCCGTAAAATTTCATTAGAGAGACCAGCAGTTAGTATAATGGCTATGTCACTGGACTCCCATGTAGTCGACAGCAGTTCAAGTCCCAGACCCAGTGGCTTAAATTCAAGCCGGACGTGTGTGCATGCATGCCCAAGATCCCAAGAGGAGAATGAA